GAGGCAGGCCAAAGAAGCGAGTCGAGAAAATCCGACTAGCGACGATTAATATAGGAACGCTGACGAGCCGCAGCCGGGAGCTATGTGATAGGCTGAAGAAGCAACACATCGACATCGCATGTGCACAGGAAACGAAATGGAAAGGGAGGCAGGCAAAGGATATCGGCGAGGGATATCGTTTATACTACACGGGAGATAGCAGCCGCCAAAATGGAGTCGCGATCATCGTCAGCGGTAGCTACCGCTAATTAGTGACCGAAGTGACGCGCAGTTCAGATAGATTGATGGCGATGAAGATCGAAGCAGATGATGTCACGCTTCGAATAGTCTCGTGTTATGCCCCGCAATCCGCATGTACCGAAGCCGAGAAGGACGTGTTTTAGAGGGACTTCGACACCCTGCTAAGGATATTCGCCGCAGACTACATCTTCATAGGAGGCGATCTTAATGGGCACGTTGGCCACGCATACGATGGATTCAAGCGATACCATGGTGGAAATGGATACGGTCTGAGGAATGAGGATGGGGAACGCATCTTGGAAGCTTCAGAAGCACACGACTTGGCTATAGCGAACACATTTTTCAAGAAGCGGGAGTCACATTTGATCACGTGCGCGAGTAGAGACCGCTCAACTCAGATCGACTACTGGATGCTGCGCCGATGCCATTTGCCGATGGTGATGAACGCGAAGGTTATACCCACGGCGACACATGCATTTGCGCCACAACACCGGTTGCTCGTATTGGATCTTCTACTGAACGTCCACTTACATTCACGAGCCAGAAGGACGACCACAAAGAGGATCAAATCGTGGAAGCTTCCCGAACATCGCCAGCAAGTCAGAGATGCTTTTAACGATTTGAGGATGTCAACGGATGATAAGGAGTCGATTGAAGAGCAATGGAATCGGATTACTTCGTAGATACGATCGAAGGCCGAGGAAATCTTGGGAACCACCAAGCCAGGACGCCGGTTTGTAGACAAGCAGATCTGGTGGTGGTCTGAGTCAGTCCAGCAAGTGATCAAGGAGAAGAAAGAAGCCTTCAAAGCCTGGCAGTGCTCACACTCAAATGAGGACCTCCGTCGATATCGGGAACAGAACTCGAAGGCGAAGGACGCGGTAGCCGAAGCAAAGGAAGCACACTACGAGAGGCTTTACGACGAGCTGGGAGGACCTGCTGGAGCTAACAAGGTCTACCGACTGGCCGCTGCACGACATCGAGAGAAAAGGATATCGACCACGTCATGCACATTAAGGACGCAGAGGGCAACCTTCTGACGAAGCCGAGGGCAATACTCAAGCAGTGGAGTGAATACTACAAAGGTCCATTTAATGAGGAGTCCCGCACCCGTTAGTACCGCAAGGAGCCCCCACATTTGGACCGGTATCTCAGATCGAGGAGGCAGAAGTTGTGCAGGCACTGAGGAAGATGTCTAGCGGAAAAGCCCCAGGACCCGACGACATATATGCTGAAGTGTGGAAGATGATGGGGCAGCGTGGAGCGGCATATCTCACATCGCTCTTTAACCGCCTTATCGTTGACGGACAGTTGCCGCGAATCTGGACTACGAGTGTTACAGTTCTATCTGGAAGGAAAAGGGCGACGTCAGCGACTGTTCAACATATCGACCAATACGCTTGCTATGCCACACGATGAAGATCTTCGAACGAGTCATCGACGCACGCATTCGAAGTATAGTGGAGGTCACCCCGAGTCAGTGCGGCTTTGTAAAAGGATCTGGCACCATCAACGCCATCCACGCAGTACGATTGCTAATGGAAAGGCATTTGGAGAAACGGATTCCGATTCATTCCGCAATCATGGATTTAGAAAAGGCATTTGATCGGATACCACACGGGCTGATCTGGTATGCGCTGAGACCACGACGTCTCAGAAGAGTCACAACGCTGGGAAACTTCTTGATTGATTGATTGAATATTGCTAATATTGCTATTAGTGCTCTTCTCTTCATTGGTTTCGCACCTTCTTTTATTAGGTCATTCGGAAAGTTTTTTCGCTCTTTGAGCATTCGAATTTGCTACATTTTCTTAATTTGGTCAAATGTGTCAGAAGTTATACGTATATCATTAATTAGGGTATGATCTCTACTTTCTGTCGGTACCCGGCACTCTTCATCAACCGTCTGTCAGGGTTTCTACTCGGTCAAAAAAGGCATGGAAAGGCGAGATTTTCGACTCATCGCACTCTATGAGTTCAAACTTGGACATAAGGCAGCCACCGCAGCAGCCAATATGCGCACTGCATTTGGCGAAGTTGCACCTACTCCAAGAACAGTGCAAATTTGGTTCAGCTGTTTCAACTGTGGAGAGCTGACCGTTGATGAGAAGCCTCGATGCGGACGTGCATCCTGCACTATAAACGATCAGCTACTGGAAGCTGTTGATGAAGACCCTAGGTCTAGCTGTGCTACATTATCAGCAGGCCTGGGGGTATCTGCTAGCACCGTTTGGAGCCATCTCCGTGAAAATGGCAAAGTTAAAAAACTCGACAAGTGGATCCCTCACGAGCTGACGGATTCGCAAATGAGAGTGCGCCGCGAGGTCCGCTCTCCCCTGATTCAACGTAATGAAGACGATCCTATTCTGAATAAAATCGTCACTTGTGACGAAAAATGGATCATGTATGACAACAGGAAGAGATCTTCACAGTGGTTGAATGCGAATGAGCCACCAAGAACATGGCCAAAAGCAGACAAACACTCTAAGAAGGTTATGATCTCAGTTTGGTAGAATAGCGCAGGCCTATTGCACTACAGCTTCCTGAAACCTGGCTGCACGGTAACAGCGGATTCGTACGTACAGTAGGGATCTGGAGAGGGTACATCAAAGCTGCAGGTTGAGCGACCCGCGCTGGTAAATGGGAAAGGAGTTATCCTTCTCCACGATAACGCAAAACCACATGTGGCGAAATTGACCCACGAAAAACTACAGCAGCTGGGTATTGAAATTCTACCTCATCCGCCTTACTCCCCGGATCTTTCACCTACGGATTACCACTTCTTCAGATCCCTCGAGTCTTTCCTGAAAGGACAGCGATTCAATGAAGAGAAGGATGTTGAAACGGCCTTCCGAAGATTTGTCGGCTCTCTGGATATCGCTTTCTTCAAAAAAGGAATAAGCGCACTGGTGGGAGGTTGACAGATGTCTTGAACATAATGGTGTGTAAGAGAGTGAGAGTTATGTAAGAAAGACTGAGAGTGAGTGAGTGAGTGCTTGAATTTGACTCTTGCTGACTCATCCATTACAGGGCGTGACTGAAGGAAGCCTCGGACTCCAAGAGAGGACTAGCGCAGCTGCCCGAGATGGTCGGGCACCGCCACCTGCTCCATCCGCCTCCTTCTACCCCATGGTCCTACCGATCGCCGCTTCCCCTCGTCATACCTATACTCATATCAATCTGCCTTACTGTCGTATCTCATTTGCTGATATCGGTGCAATAAACCATGTAACCTGCCAGTGACTAATAAACTATCTAACCGCAAAGTCTATCTCTATTTCACGCTTCCGGGCGCAACGTTGACTGGTAGCAGCGGTGTTTTCCATCGCCCGACGAGGATGAGCGGACAGGTAGGCCTAATTTGCATGCATGCTTTGCTTATTTTAGTTGCATTGTTTTGCCCGTGTTTAGCGTGATGAAGAGCAGGCGTCTCATTTTTTAAATTTTTGGCGCCTAACCTATAGACCACCGCTCCTCACCACGTTTTGATGCATATTTTCATTTCATCACGCTTTCGCTTTTGCTTGAACCTAGTTGCTTTATATTGCGCGCATATATTTTGCTTATGAATCAGGATCTTCTGTGAAGACCTGTATTGCCGGCTTTAGTGGAAATCTTTGCCGCTTTTTTCGTTGTGTGTCTGGCACCCTGGATTCATCAGCGATCGCTCATGTCTAGTGGCTTCAAAGAGTAGCAGTAGGAATGGTTCCGACATTCAGATTTAGACGGATTTGAAAGGCGGCAAAGTAAGATTATCGCGCGATTGATAGTCAATGGTCAGAGCCGGGTGCCAAATAGCAGTAAGGATACGTCTACCTTACCAGGGCCGTATGCCCAGTCTTCTAAACTTAAATGTGTTATTACCGTATTTGACAATTCATCATCAGTTGTTTACCACTGACGACGCGGGGCGTGCAGCTGCACACTCGCTCGGCTCTATTCAGAGATGTTGCCTTTTTACTTCGCGAACAAAAAGGTTCCTTCACGTCCTCTGCCGCACAGATGACAGCCTTTTTGCCTTTTCGAACCGAATGAGGGCTCCGTCGATAGCCACCTGCACCCCCTCCGCAAACTTCTTCACTTATTTTTCAATCTCTACAGTACTCATTTCGCAGATGGCAGTGACTTTGCACTTTTTTCGGGGGTCGAACATCGTTGCAGCTGCGCTGAGACATCTTTTTGCTTAGAACATCTGGTATACAAGAGATATAAGCCTTTCCCACGCCCCCACCTTCATGCCAGTCTATCATCAGCTTTGGTCAAGGCCTCATCGACGTCTCTCTTCCTTTCAATTTAAACGTTTGCCTACTCCGAACTTCAAGACCATACTTAGCTCGCCACTGTTGTCATTTCTGTAGGTCCAGACAGCCTTCTCATTGCCTCCATTTCAGATCCTTTTCGCTTATGCCGCCTCCAACAACTCGTGCTCGTGCTCCATCATCTGATACCGGGGCCCATCCCCAGTTTTCTAAACTAGCACCAAGTGCTCCTGCGGCACCACCGTTTGCCGCCCTTGGCTGGCGGTCACTTTAATTGGCGCAAGACATTGACAAAAATCGCGAGCAAATACTACTGGCCACATATGTCCGGATGTCTATTCCCTCGCCCGCTTTTGCGAGGCATGCCAGCGTAAGCGAGCCCAACAGCTGAACAGGGAACTGCTCATCACGGTTTCTAGTCAGGGCGTTTTTGAAAAGGTTTATATAGATCTGACCGGTCCCTTTCACACCTCTGATTCGGAAAACAAGTATATCGTCGCGATGATCGATCATTTTACCAAATATGTTGTCGCAGCGCCTCTACCTGACTGCACCGCCGTAACAGTTGCACAGGCTGTCATGGCGGAGTGCATCCTCAAGTACGGCGCCATGAGGCAGCTAATTTCAGACAATGCATCCTACTTTAAGGGAGAGGTAATCACTGAAATCGGCCGGCTCCTTCGCATCAATCACTATTTCACCACCCCCTACCATCACGAAGGCAATGGGGCATGTGAAAGGGTCTTTGCGACATTCCATCCCATGCTTCGCACATATATTAACGAAAATCAGTCGGATGAGACAAATACGTTTCATCTTGTACGTTCATGTACAACACTTCGATCCATAGCAGTACTAACAACACATCGTTTTTCCTTATGTTTGGTAGAGACCCTACTTTCATCATCGACTTGCTCATTAAACACGACTTGGAGCGTCATACTCCAACAGATAATGACGCCAGCATCTACATCGAAAATCTACTCGCAACTCTCCACGCCGCATGGCGGTCGGTCGCAGCCTACAACCAAAATCAACGCGAACGCTTTGAGCGTCAGCATGATAACGCCTTAGCGCACCCTCTTTCAATCAAAGTAGGTGACCGCGTCTTTTTCAAAGATTTCGGCCTAAAGTGGGTCTTTCCCAAAAACTTTGTAATCCCTGGCTCGGGCAGTTCCGAGTAGTCGCCATCCAACCACCTCACCTTACGCTTACTAGCATTTCGGCTCCTCAGTCGCCTCCTAAAAAAGTACACATGAACCAGGTTAAGAAATGTTTCTCTGTAGATGGCCCCGTGTTCACGACACCGTGGCTCCCGGATGCAGAACAAAGGGCGCTATCCACGGCTAACGCTGTTGATACTGAGATACCCGGGCGCTCCTATGCTGTCGAACTCCCTGCAGAAACAGACGTTAACCGCAAACCAACACACCAATATAAGACTCGTTTCAGATCTCGTCGAACATCGCACTAATCTCCATAAGAGGACGTCGTCATGGTATTCCTATCCTACCAGTATTCTCGTCACTACCACACCGTTTTGTTTATAATCCTCAGTTTGAAAATATATGCACCATTTTGCTAATCTAACTTCGTTAACTCTTTCACTAATGATGCTTTAATTCTCTCTTTTATGAAGTTTTGGTTAAGTACTAACTATTCAGCCTTTATCTTGCCTTCATTCAGTGACTGCACTAACACTTTTTGTTTGCCGTTTTGCGCATGAATTTTGTTATATAACAACACTTTCATACAAGCACAGTAATCCCTTTTCAGAATCAGGTAGACCTAACTCGTCGTCATTTGGCAATGGACGATCTCTCCCCACAGCAACAGTTGGAAGCATTGGGTAGGTGAATTTTGTTCTTCGGGCCGTTTGCCCAGACACCCAAACTACTTACTAAAACTACGATTTCGTAGTTGCTCACGCGCTGGCCAGGGATGAAAACCCCGATGCTTTGCAACAGCCCCGAGAAGAAATGCCAGGTAGGCCAATTCTTTTTCCGAGCTTTCTGTCTAGTACAATTACTTATGACTTGCGCTCCCCTATGGTAATGTCACCAAACCTTTCTTTAGACACCAGCTCCTCCGTCACGCAAAATGTCTACCTTGACTATCCGGAAGAGGCGCTCCTCGCCTCCGACGTTGAGTCTATGAACCTCTCACCTGCGTCATCCCTCACCTTGACCGCGTCTCCGCCTCCGGGACCTTCCACAGACACCCAGAACCTGATCCTCGTCCCTGTTCCCTCTGCAGAGGAATCAAAGTGGACCACAGTAAGAGACAAGCCGCCAGCCAGTACCTCATCCGGATCCCCCCCCCCCCGGCGGCGCGCATCCTCCCCTCTGTTTGCTGAAGAGATGCTTCACGAAGAACCCCTCGCCGTGCCTTCCTCATCTCCATACCACGACCACCCTGGTGGCATCCCCGCCCAGCCGATTCAGGATGACATCGTCGGTCTCCGTGAGCGCCTGTTCAACATCTACATGCAGGGCGTAAGTCTGCTCAGACCTGGAAGTCGGCCCCATATCCAGCACGTCCTCACGCCGCAGCGCTGTCCTCCCCCTACGTTTACACCAGAAGGACATAGCCATTACCTCATCGAACACCATCTCTGAGCGCATTTGGTCAGTCCGCGCCCTATCGACGTGCTCCAGTCAAGAGCCATACAACCGGTCCTCGATCTCCCGACAGAAGAATATCGACACTACCTAGCGGAGGATATCGTAACACTTGCTTCGCACGGTCATTCTTTCCGCGTATTGCGATTCGGGCCCATTGCCCAGTACTCCAAATTCCTTTCATCGAACTTCAGCATCTTGAAGATACGATCGCGTTCCGTGACCGAACCCTTCGCATGATCGAAGACCTCCAGGACGGCACTTATGACGACTTCCGCGAGATCGACTCACCAGTACAACCCGATCAGCTACGCTGTATGCTTGCTCCAAAGACCTGGCGAGGACGTTGTCCAGTATTGTATCAAGTTGTCTCTACCGGCTGGCACAATGGAGTAATCCTAGAGGCTAAAAACTTCTTTATGCCAGGACCTGACCGACGTGAGCTCCACTGCATTATCCTCGAATACAAAGCTATCAAGGTCACCTCCGGAGCAGGGTTTGGATAGAGGCCTCATTGTCGTTAAGGATTTTGTATGGGTGTATGCCGTCAAACCAACGAGACAAGCGTTTACGCACCCGGAGGGAGCCTTGGAGAGAGCCCGTATCCCACGCACCACCGCACTCGACAACAACTTGGTCTACTACTTCAGAGTGTCGCATTATGCTTTTGTCACTCCTCGAGAACGGGAAGATCGCGTTTACGACCTCGTACTTTCGGTTAAGAGGCGACGTACGGGAATTAACTCCTTTAAAGCTGTCTTACGGAGCTCCGGACGGCATAGTCGTCCCCAATGGGATCTGCCGCTTCGACATGCAGACCGTGAAGGAGGATGAATTTCTTATCGCCAATACTCGCTACAACGCATCCTCCGCAATGCGCTTTTCTGAGCCTCCAGCCTCTCTCTCCGCGCGCGACCAGCTCTGCCAGCTGATCACCACGCTTCTTCTCACTCACCCAGCGGAAGCGATTCGACCTTTACGAGTCTATAGGCCCAACAAAGAAGAAAGGGAGTGGCTACTTGATCGCGCTGATAGATTCGACACTTTGAGAGGGACCATTCGGTTGCGCTAATCAAGATGTTGAAACTTTTTAATGTAACGGGAGCCGCGCATGCAGCCCTTTTTTTCCTATCCGACGATCAACAACACACTGGGTTGCTGCCGTAGTCCCAAGTCTCACCGTCTATACCATCAGGTTGAGTTTCGTTCTCCACAACATGGCAAATGAAGCCGGATGGGCTGCTCAAAGCTCAGTTGCATTGTGGATAGCCTGCTCCGCTTCCCTCGCCTTCGTGAGAGTTAGGTCAGTGACGATGAATCCCGATCAGAGAACATTAGCAATATCAACGGAAGCCTACCATTACTCGCACCGCAGCATTTTGGGAGATGTCGCTAAGCACGCACGTCGCGTAGACAGGTACCCGTTTCCACACAACTCACAAGCACCTCCTTCTCCCTAAAGGGACGTCGAATCAGCCTCAACAACGACCAGCAAAAGGCCATACCTCTCGCGTTCACGGGTTACCCGGCAGTTGGAATTCAAGCTGCGTTCGGAACGGGCAAAACAGTTATAGGCGCGCTACTTGCAGCCCACTTATGCAAAGCAAACATGTCCGTGATAGTGACCTCGACGATGAATGCAGCAGTCGCCCAGTTTGCGCAAACGTTCCTCGCGCTAGACGACTTCGACAATGTGCCCATGGTCCGATATTTCGGATTCAGCGGCCGCAGCTGAAAACGCCTATGCCACCCCTAGCGACTTGAACGTCATACTCAAAGGACTTGGCGAGAAGTACGCGGCAAAGATGACATCAACAGAAAGAAATCGCTGCCATGAGTTCAGAGAAGGAAGAGAAGTGCTAGAACTGGCTTTGAGGGATCCAGAGCGCGCGATTCAGATGTTGGAAGAGCAGAGCGAAGAGTGTTACATCTCGGACAAGTATGTTTGCAATCTCCAAAAAATGGTTGATTTGGTGTTTCGACTTCATGCCCCGGCAGTGATATTCGCGACCACGTCATCGCTGATTAACATCATAGGGCCGAAGGGAATATTCCGGAAGCACATGTCCAGGTTTTCTGTCTTGATTGGAGACGAGACGTCCCAGATTCCCGAACCCGCACTCGTCACGCTGGCCATGCGTCTACCGACGGTGCGCCACGTCTACATTGGAGACGCGCACCAACTCCAACCGCATGTTAGATGCCCAAGATCTTCGAACATGGCAATCTTCGGGGCTCGGAGTGTAATGGAGATGCTTATGAAGGCGCGCGCGGTTCCGATCGCCCCTCTGCGGAAAACGTTTAGAGGTCATCGGAGTCTACTCGAAATCCCCAACCGCGTCGCATACTCTGGCGCCCTGGTATCAGGAGTGCGGGCAGAGGAACGCCAAATGCTTCTCACGGCAATGAAGTTTCCATCACCGGGCGTCCCATATATGCTTATCAATGTTCCGGCTGATTCTACTAGCTCGACGAGCAAGTCGCACTTTAACACGACGGAAGCCGAGGCGTGTTGGCACTTGGTGCACCTGCTTCTGGAAAACGGGATATCTGAGGATGACATAGCTATAATCACTTTCTACCGGGCGCAGTTCAATCACATGCAAGAGCAAGCACAACGTCTTGGTGTCGAACTAGCAACGGTAGATTCAGTACAGGGGAGAGAGAAAGAAGTCGTCGTCATCCTCACGACTCGAACGGATGCAGAACTCGGCACAGCAGAATTCTTGGATGACTATCGCAAAATGAACGTGGCCCACACTAGGTGTAGACAAGGCCAATTTGTCTTCGGCCACGCAGAGGCCCTGTCCCGCATACCATTTTGGAGCCGAGTCTTGTCATGGTCAAAGTCGTTGAACGCCGTGGTCGATCATAATCGCATTGATGAATGTTTTTATAATCACTAAGTGCCTAGTGAGTTTTCCAACTTTTCAAGTACCTTTTAACCTTTTTTTGTTCTCTCTCAATGTTTTGTAATAAGTCCGGTACGGACTTAAATTAATGAAGGGAGGTGTAAGAGAGTGAGAGTTATGTAAGAAAGACTGAGAGTGAGTGAGTGCTTGAATTTGACTCTTGCTAACTCATCCATTACAGGGCGTGACTGAAGGAAGCCTCGGACTCCAAGAGAGGACTCGCGCAGCTGCCCGAGATGGTCGGGCACCGCCACCTGCTCCATCCGCCTCCTTCTACCCCATGGTCCTACCGATCGCCGCTTCCCCTCGTCATACCTATACTCATATCAATCTGCCTTACTGTCGTATCTCATTTGCTGATATCGGTGCAATAAACCATGTAACCTGCCAGTGACTAATAAACTATCTAACCGCAAAGTCTATCTCTATTTCACACTTCCGGGCGCAACGTTGACTGGTGCTTATTTTGAATGAAAAGGTTGGTTCTGAATAAAGTTATGATTGTTCAAATTTTTGGGTGCAAAAGCGAAAAAACTTTCGGAATGACCTAATACATTGTTTATAATCGGTCATTCAACAATTAACATAGGCTGTTTATTCTCTACAAACGACTGTAACCTTTCTTATAAATGATGCTCTCTAACTGCCAGGTCTCATCATTCACTTTCACACTATTTTCATCAATGTATAGCACATTTGCCAAGCTGCGATTCACTACTTCTCTTACGATATACATTAGAATACCCTATTTCGGATCAGGCCGCGCACCAAAAGTAGCAACTTCCAGCATCTATAATCTCTGCGTTTTTGTTGAAGATGGGAGATGGTGGCTTTTTCTCTTGATTTTAATCAGGATGTCTTTGGAATTCCTTTTGACTCAATTTTTGCGGAATGCAATTTTTCGTTCCTGAGTCAGTGTTTATGGCAACCTCTAAGAAGTAACTTCTAAAAGTATACAAGAAGTTTTATCCCAGTCATCCTAGAAGGCAAAATATGGAATAGTTTGAATGCCTTGATAGTCGGATTCCTACAAAAAAAATATCCTGCGGACCTCTTACTTTCACGCATATACTCTCCAAGTCAGACATCTATACAGAGTGTCCCAAAAGCGAGTATACATTATTCGTTGATAACTCTCCTCCCAAAATTCTTCTGCTTAGCTCTAACAAGGGAAAGATACTTGACGACCCGGCTATCTGGAATGCGATGTATACCATAAGGTGCATCTCGAAACGCTGATTCTAAACCTGTGCTCGAAATCTGCGAATCGATCATATGAAAGCAGTTACGAACTTTTTTCGTAGAAAATTTGCGTACTTTTAGGTAGTTAAAATCACCGAATTTGATCATTTTACTGTTTGAAGCTATTGAAGAAAATCTTGAAAGATGTAAAATTGTATTTATACCTATATAAATCGTAATCGGTATTTGAAGAGGAAAGAAAAATTTTTATTTATGATTTTCATCCTTCGCAGTAACGCAACAAAAAATTGTAACTCCATCCAGGTTCTGGTTTCGCAGATGTAGAAAAGAGGTAATCGAACCAGCATTAAAAGGTGCATTTTTTGATATACAAACCATTATGAATGGCCGGGTCACAAGTATCCTTCCCTCTTAAGTACTTTCAGTGAAACAAGCTTCAACTTAGATTTATAGTTGGGAGCGAATCGCCCATCTTTCTTCGTTACTGTAGGATTATGATAGGAATTTTAAAGAGAGTTTCGAGCCCTCTACATTTTGCCCCAGAATGGATAAACAACAAGTTGAAAATTCTATCATTAGGGGCTAAGCTGAGTCGCTAACTATGAATATAAGATTCTTAATTCTCTGTACACTATTCCAGGTCAGCGACTAGATGATCAGGTATGTTTGAGATTAACTTGCTATGGTCGCCGATACAAGGTAATGGTCAACAATCACCGACTAGATAGTGCGACCTTAACGCATCATCCAGAGATCGAAAACGATATATTCGTACGATGATACATGTAAAGAATATGTTCGAACACGCGAGAAGTTATAATCAAAGTTCATGCTGGAGCCTCATCCTCTTTCGCATATGTACTTCCGCTCTAGCATAGGATAATTGGAGAAAACCGCCTCAGTAAGTTCTGGAATAGTGAGTTGCTTGCCCATTTCTGATTGAAGATGAAATAAAGGTCAGCACTCGAAGATTCGGTAGATGATATGTGGACCTAACATGTTAGCATAGATGAGAAGCGTTTTCTCACTTATTGGAATGTGGTATTTCACATACTACTGCCGCGATGACGGCGCTCCGGAATTCAGTCACAATCAAAAACATATAGAAAATTTATAGACGGAGATTGCACATTTTGCAAAACTGAAGTTTCTCCAACGGAGCCAGCATCTAGAATATTGAACAATGTTTAGCCAGAAGCTCGAATTATCCAAAGTTAGGAAGAAATTTCATAAAACCCAACACCAACAAATTGTGAGTGGTTTGAAAAGAGGCACTATTATGAACCTTATCTGTGTAGTTATGATCTTAAGATCTCTTTATTTTCGGAATAGTTCGAAGGATGTCATGTTGATTAAATAGCCCTCTTCCTCTAAGTCAATCGTCTTCAATTTTACAGGGACTTCAACTGGTGTCGCAGCGTACACCACATGCTCACCAGCTAGTTGGCTTATCCAGGCAATATTTTGCAGGGTGCTAAGCCTTCAGTAGCTTTTCGACTGTGTTGTAAATTTTTGCAAATGGCCGCAAAAAGTTACAAAGGTTTGAATGACTTATCCTTTTACCACCAACCATAAGTCACTCTGGTGCAGCCGTACTCAATTGCTCCATGAACACCGGTGCTCAAAGTGGAGAAGATTGTGAGCCAACAACTCAAATTGCACTGAGTTCACTTAGAATACATCTCTTTGATTGTTTGATGCTTCGCAGTTTTTTTACATTTTCTTCAAGAAGGAACCTCTAGGAGACAAACATAGATAGTCAAAGTTATGCTACCTGGATGAAAACTGGGTTGTCGATTAGCAATGACTCCCGTCGAATACATTTGCAACCTTCAAGGGATCAGAGAATGTGACACTTTGTTGACCTCGTTTAAGCAGTTGCACTTCTACATTTGTGTCATTAAGCCGCTACAGAGATTGTAGAATGCTTCAAGTGCTAATGCTTCGGTAAGCTGCTTCGTACGGAGCCTAAAATGGTGAGCACGGTCTGCAACCTCTACGATTTACTTTTCCCCACAAACCAACATAGTTCTTAGACTCAAGTTCAATCTCTATTATTGCTGATGCAAACGCGCAAGCTTTCGATTACTTCGACAGAAAGCTGATGCCAGAGCAATGCGACTTACTGACCGCACATGGGACTCAGCTTCTGGAGATGTACGCTAAAAAAGGTGACTTATTCGAGAAGCGGATTTGTGCTGGGCGACACCATTTGCGAGCCTTTTTTAGATTTTCTTTTCACTGCCCACTCATACAACTTTGATTTTTGCGGATATGCAAAAGAATATCTAACTTATATTGCGCTCATTCATATGTAATCAAAGAAAAACTGTGTAAAATCTAGGAAAAAACATTCTTGCATTTGTGCCTCTGCGGTAAAATAATGGAACTGAAATTCATTTATCTCAATACATCAACAATGCAACTCATAAAAACTTTCGCAACTTCTAAAAACAGAATTTAGTCAAGACAAGGCAATAACAGAATGATATTTTATCACTAGTATTGTAGTGGGCAATATGTCATGAATGAAATAAGCTGGCGGGCACTAGCCTCATCGGCAACGATGAAAATGGCGGGGCTTAGCCGTTATCCGACACCTTTTACCTGTTTCGCCGCCCTTGCCCACTATATTTGTTGGAGATCAGAGGGAAGTGAACTTGGCTCATAATGCTTATAAATTTTAATTGCGGTTATGATTCAACACAAACAGTGACGCTAACTGTTTACCTAGGCATATGAGTAACGATTAGTGAAGGAGATGATATACTGAGCCCAATGCATGTGCTACAGGCGAGTTTTGACATCCAGGAGATCGCTTTTCGCTGAGAAAGCCTCAAGTGTCAGCGAATTCTCCTTCTCCCTGAGACGAGAGTGGATGAGCTGCTCATGGTTGGCGGGCAGCATGCGACTGAGACGTCTTAGATTCTCCCGACTGATAGTCGACGATGCTCTTTTTCGGCGTCGCGAACCGTCACGTACGACAAACATTTGTTCGTCTCCATTAGGGGGTGTCAGAAGGCTGAAATCACTTGTAAGCAGTCTTTCTCGGATGTAACTGTGCACACAAAGGAGTTCGAAAGTACATGTAGCAGTTAGTACGAAAACCGAAAATGAGGCACCACATAGATCACAAGGACGAAACTGGGCACGAGAACGGAGTATCTGCAAGCACACTTGACACTCGTTGCTGTTTCATGGACTTCTGAGGAGTACAGGTCTGAAGAACATAGTTGAACAACAATGTTACGACGGTCCGATTAGTTGTACATAAATAGTAGTTAGAGGACAGAAGAGGCATGAAAAGACAAAAAACGGTACATGTACATCGATTTGCATGGAGTCGCTTCTGACCTGAGATAATAAATGTGTTGCTCCGAATTTCTACGTTTTTCTTCTAGAAATCAGTTCGATTATGCCCTCGCCTCTGTAGTAAAGCAGCACACCAATTGAACTGACAAACTTAGGATAGAAATTACGCCAGCAGTACATACGTCGTTCACACAGCGGAAAGAAGAACATTTGTGTAGCCGCGAGAACAAAGCCCTCATTTTCAAAGCTTTCCCTGAGTTTTCCATACTTCAACAGTACTCGAATCTCGACAGTTTTACTCATCATTCCTCAACTTTATGTTTTCCAGTCTAGTCATCCTTTAGAGATAACGCTCACTTCGATAATTGCAACAAAGATCTTTGCGGTCTCATCAAATGGGTCTTGATGAGCTACTATTTTCATTATACTAGGTCTTGCAAAAGAGCCTGAAGTAGTAGGCTTGTTTACGACGATCTCACACTCATAACAGTGCAAAGCAAAATATTTCACTTTTGATCAAACAGTCACGGTTGCCAGAGTTTCATTGATATTCTAGACGAACAAAATTTTTTTGAAAGACACTCTTAACGGAGAGACAGTCTTGCATCTCGTTCAGATACGAACATGCCTGGGCAAGCAAAGTCGTACCTTACTTACGATGAGCATGAAAATGAAAAATTCTATTGTACTTCTTTCCTCATTCAGAGGTCCTAAAATACGACACGCTTTTTTACAACGCAAAAGATTTGGCTGTGCTGGCTGTAGTTTCGACTAAATTATCATCCTAGGAATTACTAATTTATTGGTTGGACTGAAAGATGTCATAAAAACTTCCTAACTTACTTTGGAAGTGGCTGACCAGCAGTATCTAACTGCATGTTTCGAAGTTTATTCCGTGATTTCTCCGTCTTTTCTGTCCCTGAGTTCCCAAGCCACCAATCACGGATCTGAAAAACGTACTTGGTATTTTTCTGTAGATACTTCGGCTCAGATCATCTTTTTTAGATACCTTTCCTAGCACCGTCAGTCTCAGACGGAATGTGTCATGCCGAGATTCAATGCAGTATTCTCCAAAGGCCATAATTAAAGCAATTACCAGTCCTGTACTGAGAACGTAGAATATACCTGAATGGAGGATAGCAAAATTATATGAACCGAGCCCTCGCTTAGCAGGTACTAACCAAATATACTCTGCGGGGGCGATGCACGCGATTTTTCCGGCGGAGGAGGGCAAGAAGGGCCTTCTGAAATAGCAAGTGTTTTATCTTCTGTTTCGGATGTGTTCGAGGCGCTAGTTATATGCTGTAAATAGAGACCTCTCATGTCGCGCCACCATTTGCTTTTGAGGGCTTCGAGAATGGTCCTTTCCTGGAGCTGTAGTACAGTTCTTGATAGAATTCCCCTCAAAGGAGAACCCTTTGGAAGAGCTAACCCGTAGCCCTGAAAGGTGTGCTTTTGTGCAGTATACACTTTATTAGATCTAGACTAACTTTCGAGTCTAATAATCCGCCTATGCTTTGCAACTGACAATCTCTTTCCATGTAATATTCAATCATAGACGATTCCATCATATACGCATAGTTACCAGCCTTGACACGAGCAATGCCTTCCTAAAATGTTCTTTCCCAAGAAATGTTCAAACTCAGAAAGCATCGCATCATTTACCTTCGAACTGTTGACGAAAACAGTAGGAGAAGAAGATTCCATTATGGACCACCTAAAAGTTGTTCATTAATTAGATATGCGGGTCCCCCTAATTCTATTCCCCTTTCCCGCTAGTGTTGCTATTGTCTTGAGAACAGATCAGTAAACTACTTCTGTTGGTTTATTCCTAGTCGTGTTCGCTACATAAGAAAAGACTGACGTATTGAAGAAGGTTGGGTGACTAAGTATTGCAGCCTAACTTTCTGCACCGTCTACGATAAGAATATTTAAGAGGTAAGAGTATATGTGCTTATCACGAATTGAAACATGAACTTGCGACACCGCGTTAACACCTGTTCCATGACGAACACATTTTTCTGTTCTTTGACGGCGAAGCGGTATCTTCACTTAATACGAACGGTTTTTACGGTAACGATACCAGCAATACTGAAGCAATCAAACGAATCAAAAAAGACGATAGGAGTGTGGATTGAAGGGCCCGAGAAAAGTCGGTGTTGTGGCATTTCAGTGCACTATGGGAGTGGACGCCGTCGGGCACGCTATCGCACAAATGCGGAGACATATCGTCGTGATAGAAGCGAGAAATCGCTCGAGAAAGAGAGACTAAGTTCAGAGGTAAGTCTTGCCTACATATGGATTCTCTGCTCTGCGGGAGAGTGCATGTCGCCATATTTTAGGCCTTAAGGGCCGGGCATACTTCACGCGATCTAGTCGCGACGCGATTTGGCAACTTGCCAGAAGTCTTCATATTCAACAATAGCAAACTGCGCATGCATAGTGTGTATAACTTACTTGGACTGATAAAACGCCCCATCTTTAGTACATTTAAAATTTGCTTACAATGAGTTATGGACACTTGGAATATTGCCAAATCGCGTCGCGACTGAAATCGCGTGAAGTATGCCCGACCCTTTAGGACCTCGAAGCGAACTCTGTGTCCTAGTGATGAGCGGATCAAAAAAGACGATAGGAATCTAGATGGAGGGACAGTGTCCGGGCAAGGTCAGGTGTTGTGGCATTTCAGTTCACTCGTCCATGCTCAAAATCAAAGGTTATGGAAGACGCTTGATATTGTAGTCGCGCTCTATGTCATGTGGATTCAGCGTAATAAACAAGCCATACGAAGCAGACATCTTAAAAAGAGCCCTTGAGTGGGTTACAAAGACGACGTTGTCCTGCTGGATGGCGCCGATCATCGATCTACCAATCTTCAGTGGCGGAAAAAGAGAGGCGGATTTGACCTCTCAGCATTATATAAATACCGATGGACAGGGGAGACCAGCCAGAGCGAGAAGAGAACGCTCTCGGGAGTTTAAACGAGCCGTCAAAGAGAGGCGGACCTCTCCCTTAGATAAAAGAAGCCAGAGACTGCTGAGAGGGTAAATCGGGTTGAAGCCCCATTGCTGTATATGGCGTTCTGTTCTTCTTGTCGTTAGTTTTGCGCTATAAGAATAAATTCTTGTACTCAAACTCGTGTTTCTCATCGATCAGGTTCTGCCGGGACTTACACTATACCACCCCGTTACAATCTTCATGTCCAAGCCGCACATCTGACCGATTCTGGTGCTTATAGAACAGGAGTCCTTGCTCTGACGCCCTGTGGATGGTACCAATAACAGCTTTTGATGGAGTTTTGTTGTATAGGCTACTGTTGGACGAGGGCGAGAAACATAGGGTTGCGTAACGATTCTATCAGCCGCAAGGCGCATGAGGCACAGAGTTTACAAAGGTGGAGATACGCACGTGCTGCGTTCGCGCCTGCTCGACGGATACTGCTTTTGCGCCCTAGTCCAAGAATAGGCTTCATTTCTACACGCCTCGGATGCGCAGCGAGTGCAGAGGGCAATCATATCGAACAACTGAGTTGGGAGCATGTCATTAATTAGTCGGTGGCAGGGGTACGATAGGGAAAGCACTGTCCCCTCCACGTGAAGGGGTTTTGTTCTATACCTGACCTCAAAAAGTGGACAGAGTAACTGAACCTCGTAGTGATTGCTGACGTTAGCTTACATGGGGATTGGGGCGACAAGGGGGAGAATAAATGGTGCAGATGTATAAGGAGAATTTCTCAATGCTCTAGCTTTGAGAGGTCATTGAAAGAGGTTTTTTGCTGCAGGGAAGCTTTATGTCCCATCAATCGATATAATCTAATTTCACGCGTACAGTGCGCACCTTTTCCGATTTTTCAAACGAGCCACTCAGCCGCACCACGGTATTTCGTAGAGCTATCCTTTTGCCGCACGATTCTCTTGAGTAATGCGCATCAGGTTATAGGGTCTTTTGGTTGCGAAGTCTTTTGGCGTGTTTTGGTCGATTGAGGAAAAAAAATCACTCGCGCCTTGTACGCGTGAGTAAAAGTATTATCAGAAGGCTTCAAACATATAGCGATGGATCGTGTAGATCGTCTCTTTTTTCCAGTTTTGTTGCAAGGCGAGATATGAGCAATTTTGTTTAGCTACAACAATAGCCATTTTGAAACCAAAAAAGCTGTGCTATTTCGATTCACATTTGAAGTTTCTTGCAAAGTTCAGATATGAATTGAAAACTTTGAAAGCGAAGAATTTGATCTTACTCTCATTTTTTTAATTTTCCTCAATAAAAGGAGATCGGTTCGAATTTGTCGTGATCATACATCCATCAATGTCCAACTAGGCAGTCGAAGGGGTACCTCCGGGGGCAAATGGCGCGGGTCTGCCACTTCGCGCTCTGGAGCGCTCCGAAGCCCTGCCATTTCACCCATTTTGGTGCTCCGGGGCTCTTCCAAATCTGGCGCACCTCCGGAGCAGAGATTCGCGTCCCGGAGAAGGGTCCCATTCGCCTGCTTGTGACGTCACCGTGACGCACGGTGACGTTACGGTGAACGAATGGACCCCTCTCCGGGACGCGCAAATTACACTTGTCGCGAGGGGTAAAAAGTATTTGGTGGCTGAGCACTATTAGCTCTTGCTTAACCCTACCACCTCCCACCTCTAATATTAGACTCATCGATTGCTCTGTTCACGGAAAGTTACTTGTAAAGGTTTTGTACAAATAATTATTTTTCAACAATAAATTTTACTAGCAAGACTTTTTTCTGCATGAAAGTGAGTTTGTGCATATACTGGACTCTTTCTGGACTTTTTCCTTGTCAACTGAACAATACAAGGGCCTGGAGAGCATATTGTAGGGTCTTGCAAGAACATTTCATCTTAAAATCATAGGCCTGCAATCTCGTCAGACTAGGAATTTTATTAGAATGTGATATGTGTTGTGAAGATCAAGAACAGCACTTTCTAATGGTACAAATAATATTGCATTACGAGTGAAAATCTCCTAGAACGGCTGCTTCAAACGGAAGGAAATTCGGACAGAACTTAATTATAATAGTAGCCTAGTATTTTTTTCCTGAAACACCACTCTGAGTATACTGAACTCCTTTCTGGAAATGAGTCATGCCTTGGCTAGGAAGAAGCAGCTGCCGGCGTTTCTTTCTCCAAAGAAAGTGCATCAATTATCATAGGTATTTTATTCTGTCGCTATGAATTGACTCACAATCTCAACCTCAGGTGCAAGGGTCACCCGAATGCCGGCTCAAGCAGGAAACAGAGCTGTTGCTCCACCTACCGCATCTGGGTGATTCGGGTCTTTGAAAGATGCCACGACACGGTTCCAAATCGCTCACTATCGCCTACATAGGTCAAAGCCACAAAGGCATCGTCCTACATGTGCATGGCACGATGCCTCTATAGTTACAAATGTCCCAATTTTTTGAATGTCATAAATATGTGACTCAGTCTAAGTGCATAATTATGCTAGAAAAGCGTTGTTTTTTTTTAATAGGCATAATGAGGCTTAATTTAGACGAGAAACATACATGCGTTCATATATAGGTATTCGACTCTCACGGAAGAAATCCATCGTGCTACCACTTTTCAACGTCCCATAGCGAATTTTTTGTTGACTAGCCAAATCTGACGTGCTGCAAACGACATAATTGATCTTCATACAGAATATATAGCTAGATACACACCTTTCTATTGGTGTCGACATTCGTTCGACTGTGAGGAAAGCTGCTAGTTGAGCGGTATACGATGAGATGAGTATTTGCGTGAACATCCACCTGGAACACTATTATCATGTAGGAGTTGTGCAAAAGTGCCGCGATTTCGCTTGCCAAATGACTGCTACAACACGCGTGGCAGCAGCTCTCGGAATTACGTCGCTACCCTGCTGCATCAGTGATCCAACTGCAAACCACAGTGAGTTCAGCACGCTGAACTGATTCTTCTGATTCTCGATGCTGCGATCGCGTTCGTCAATTTTCTCGATGTCATACCTCAACGAAAATCGTCATATTATGATCATTTCAAAAGTAAGGATCTCACCACTCATAGGGGCTGAAGCGCGCCAAAAGGTACATTGTGAAGGAAACGGAGAGATATGCAGCGATTAAGGAGATCCAAACCGGGAAGGAAAGCGGTTCCAGAAACGTGAATAAAGAGCTCTGAAGTAATAAAGTTGCGAGAGAACAACACTTCAAACTTCTCAATTTAAAGTTTTGTTTCTTTACATATTTGAGTGTCATTGGTTCACCGACGGCTAAGATCAAGTTCCATGCGAATGCAAAAATAAAAAAATTGTGTTAAACATCATAAACACAGATATTTCCTTATTACTGCAATTTGGTCACAGCAACACTGTTCGATATGAGAAAATTGCCTTGGCGCTTTTCTAGAGCAGTGTGACTTTTTTAAATTTCAAACCGTTTCTGCGAAGAAAACACAGTGATAGAGGATTATCGTATAAAATAGTATTTTTCGCAAATTTTTAGCTTTTGGCTTTCAAGCGAGATTGAAGTTTGCCACAGTTATATAGATTAAGCCATGAAAGAAAATTCTGCAGAATGTTGAAACTAGCTAGCAGTACATTAGTACTTCCACAAAACTGTGACCAAAGCCAAAGTCTTATATTTTAAAGTACCTTTCTGGAAGCTTTGTTTCATGTAACGAAAAGATGCGGTTGAATCACTTCTGCAAAATGCGAGCCTTTCTATTTCCAAAACACAAAGAAATTCAGGTTTACTATCGGAAATTTACCGTGCCAACCCAACATCTCCTCATTATTACGTGTGAAAATACTGTTTCCATTTAGAAACGAATTTGGAAGCACGGATACGGTACTTTCTAACCTCGTAATTTCTAGCCTGATAAATTCTAAATATGCGTTGCATATAATTGCATATAATAGCTGCGATTGGGCTGCTGCAAGTGTACGTAAAGTAAACAATCATCACCTTTTCGGAGTCGTCTTTCGCTCTCGCAAGAAGGATGGAAATCCCCAGATGCATGAAGGGCAAAGTAAAATCTGAAATAGATTCAGTTTTACTGCCACAATGACTTCAAATTTCTAGCTTTTAAGAAAAAATTAGAATTATTCAAGTCTGCACGAAACACTGACCTACGACTTCAACTCTACTATAGGTGATCGTGAGTGCTGAAACCGATAAGTCCGCTTCGTGCCGTTGCAAAACGCCAATTATTCCATTCCATCTACCCGTTTCGTCCTAAGTCATGATATTATACATCTTTTTCAATAGAAATTCATGCAATTACCTCGATGCCATAGCTGCCATCTTGTACTTCAATTATCGTGTAGTTAAATTTGAGAATAGCCGCCATTTCATTGAGCAAATCGATGCAGAATCCTTCATACTGATTACTTGCGTTCTTAGTAACGAATGGCTCCTCCTGAACACATGTACATAATTTGCTGATTTTCGACAACATTGTTCAATTGAAAATGAGAGCAAAAATCCTTGATGATTGAGATAGTAGATCGGTCCCGATGCTGTATGTTGATTATATCATACTTTCTCGTTTGAATAGTGTTCCGCCTCCCTCCAATCATTCTCGCCTTCGTTCTTCATTTAGCGAAGTGCACAACACTTTGCTTTATCCTCTGTTCCCGATTACAGCATTTGCGAACGTACAATCGCTTCGAATGTCTCGTTTACAAGTTTTAGATACAATTTTTGGGTTCTGTGACAATAAAAAATTGAACTTTGACTTTCAACATGCAAGACATGTTGGCCCAATAATTCAACCAGTATGATGATGATATTTTTGGTTATCGTAAAGTAATGGAACATTACAAAAACAAAAGCAGTCTTTCCGAGAAAGAGAACTGACCAACACATTAACGACATTACGATCCACCGTACGTGTACTTTTGGACCATACGACCCACTGGTGGGTCGTAATCTAAACATAGCAAGTTTACGATGAATACTAACAGTAAAATTTCTACAAATGCTTTGCGAGGTCTAGGTGCAGATCTAATTGAATTATGTTTTGGACCTACGGCCCATGGTGAAAAAAACGAGGTAGGCATCGATGGGCCATATGGGCCGAAGCGAAAGGATTCGATAAGATTCTGGTTGCAATTGTGTCACATGAAAATTGCTAGATGTTTACGAATATTATTCCAGCTCAACCAAAATCTATATAACTTCCGCTTTTTATGCAAGTTGCTACATACTAATGAAGAGTTCCTTAACACATTGACGACAATGTGACCCACATGGTGGGTCATGCAATGACTGTGGTTTTAGAAGATCTGTTATGCTTTATTCCTAGGAATCACTTCCGCGTTTCTTAGCTGCTTCTCAGATTACTGTAGGGATACTGCAGATGACGCCTGCTTGATTTCAGCTAGAAATACTCAACTTACTGTAGATGGCACTGTCCCACAAGGCAGACAGCCAAAAATGCACGCTGTCGTCAACATGTTAATGGGTACATAGTAGAACATAGTAGAACGTTAGAAGCCTGACACAAGCTCTCATCGATCATTCCAAGCTAAAGCTTGGAATGATCGATGAGGTTTTTATTCTCCGTAAACTTTGAGTATTCTGCTACCACAGCAGTCATCAGATTCACAACAAAGTGTTTTTGAGTCTGCAGTGTGATGCAAGAGTCATGTCTTCCATTGCATTCCCAAGTGAGAATGCTCTCTCTCACCCGTTTTCTGATCTACAGCTTTTTTTGCCTTTCATTTTGAGAGATATTTAGCTCGGCCAAGACCATTGCGAAGCCGGACACAGACCCCACTTAACCGAAGAAAAAAGTCAAGTGGTAGTGCTGGTTAGTTCTTGTCCAAATTTTCGCGGTGAGTGGCATCTAACATCCTTGCTCGCTGAACTAGAGTCATTTCACTCGCACTTTTTATGGTTTTCGTTGATGATGCTGATACTGTTCGCCAAAGCAAAGTTCTTCTATATCAAAATCACAGACAGGACATGAGTTTTTCGAGGACTAGACGAAAAGTACGCGCTAATTGTCTCTGATCTATGGATTTTAATCGCTGTCATTAGTGACTTATGTCAGTATTATAGTAGGTTATCTGGGAGGCTATTTCGTTTTCGCACTTTAAACAAGCAACTACCTTCACTTAATAACTTCACTGTGTTCGGCACGTCTCTGACAACGCTCCTCTGGTGTTTGCTTTTTATGTGAACTGATCTCAGAGAAAATTTCAAAAAATGGTAACTGGTAGCTTGAAGGTCGGAGAGCTCGAGGAATAAATAGGAAATCCGGTGAAGAGCTAATCACCTTTTTAAGGGCCATTTCCCATATGTGACTTGGAGGCATCGTGGGCGAGGATGTCACTTATGTTAGTATAATTATACGTATGCGCAAGCCCAATTTTAAAATTTTAATGAAAGGTCTTTGGACCAGACTTTTTCGCTCTGACTACAGCCATCAGCGTACAGGACCAGCGAAATTATTAGGTAGTTAAGCTGATGACCGATTCGTACGCGATTGCGGCAGGTGATTTAGTAGAGAAAAGCAAGCTCTACAAGACGGCATTTGAATATACGCAAAAAATTTGATCCACCGAAAGTTCAAAAGCAAAATGTGGTAAACTCAAATACCCAAGAATCAGATCTCCGTCCAAAACGCTTCTGCGAACCTTAAACCTGGTGGCGCACATCCATCAGGCATTCATACGTACAGCTGCTGTATTTTTTCCACCCTTAGAAGTTGAAAAAATAAAAGTTGGCATGCTTCAACAGATTCAATGCTAAGGTACTTTCACACAGAATAATTCCATACTGTAAACCTTCCAGTACAACCATAGGTTTTCAACATTCTGTAAGCATTTGTTTCCGAGAAATGTCAGATACCCGAAAAGCAGTATTTCCGCTTTTTCTACTCATTCTTATTCTCCGACTTTCAGCTTGAAACAATGGTAAGTGTACATATGAACGTCTGATGTGAACGGTATAGCATGACCAACTTGAAGATTCGCGAAGGTACTTTGAACGGAGATTAAGAGTATTCGACTTTTTTCAGAATTTTTTCAAATTTCAAGTGGATATCTGCAATTATTCGTACCATCTTGTAAAGCTCGCTTTCCTCTATCAAACAATGTGTTTTCTACTCTGCGATCGCGCAAGGAACGGTCATTAATTTCCGGACAACCTAGTATTTTGGAGTGCATCACTCTTTCCGTATGACTGTCTATTCTGGTCATGCTTTTGTTGCTTAAAGTTGATACTTCGAAGCTGACAAATCATAATTTAACTATATAAGACCAAAATTTGTCGCAAACAATCACTTTTATCGCAGGACTCTACGATTACTAAGGGTGAAGTTTGCCATTCGTTTGCCTTTTTTCCCCTTTTTCAATTACAAAAAACCTCAAGCACATTTATGAGTATTGGTATTTACCTACATGCGTGAGCGATTTGTAGGAAAGTCATTTCCTAAAGGGCCGGGCATACTTCACGCGATTTCAGTCGCGACGCGATTTGGCAATTCGCCAGAAGTTTTCAGATCCAACGCTAGTAAACTCCACATGAATAGTGTGTATAACTTACGTGGATCGATAAAATGCCTTATCTTCTGTACATTCAAAATGTGCTTACAGTGAGTTATGGATTGGAATATTGCCAAATCGCGCCGCGATTGAAATCGCGTGAAGTATGCCCGGCCCTTAAAAGCTAAAGTACGACTTTTGAGGCAATCAAATCTCTTTGAAATGAGATGGTTGTAGATCAGAGCTCACCATTTTAGTGAAAACCTTTAATAAACTTCCAACCAATTCTAACTTTCTAACTTTCCTAATGTTAATTTAATCGTTTGAATTCTGCACCGCTGTGAAACAGTTCAGAAATAGATTTTTTCGCGCCGAGTGATGCGGAAGTGCAAGAGTGGAGTAGTTGAGAGATTCGCAGTTCATCTTTTTGCATCTCTTTGGCGTGAGAATGACAGATCGTTGCGCAGTTAATAAAAAAACAGCTGCAAAACTAGTATTTTACCTAAACGCTGGTTTATCTTCTAACTACAGTGTAAATAACTTGAATTTACCCAAAAGCTAAACTTTGTTTTTGAACTACAATGTAAATAGTTTCACGCTTGTTTACCCAAGAGCACGACCTTTTTTCTAACAACAATTTAAATAATGGAATGTCACATAATTTTTCTACCGTTTTTACTATAAACGTTGTCTCTTTGCATCTTCCCTTCAATTGACTTTTTTTTTGGCTTGAGTAATCATTCGAGAGGGCAAAGCAAGCTCTATAAGATAGTTGTGAAAAATCTGCCCAAATCGTATTTCACTGGAAGCGATAGCAGTCGAAAATGAACTTTTCCATCAAAAATCGTATCTCCGCCCCAAAATGTCTTGAAAATTCCCCATTTATCCTAGCGTATGCTTGACACATCGCACATTCATGTGCTAGTTCCGTATTTTTTCCATGGCTAGAAATAGAGAAAAAATTAACCGGGTAAAATGGCAAACTCCGCTCCTAAACATCTTGAGCTCCTCCCACGCACGCGATCATATAGGTCATACATGCAGAAGTACGACCATGTATTTGTCAACTCTGAAGAGGTCTTAGTTCTTGAGAAATGCTGATCTTTAGGTTAAAAACGGTAAAAAATTTAAGGGACACCCTAATAATTCGAAAGTGAGCCAAAAACATGCAATATTCAGCAAAAATGCTTGCATTCGTAACTTACATCATAATCTTTATACCAGCCTGAGAATGAGCGCACCAAATTGGTAACGACAAAAGTTATATAAAAGGTTGCATCACTTAAGTGCCAACCTGCTCTCAACCCGACATTTTGAAATCGCCAATTTGAAGCAACTTTATATGATATTTCGAAAGTGGAGTGTTTCACATCCGCGCTTAAACACAAATGCATTGCATTTTTCTCTCTTCTTTTTGCTCTTTGTGCATTTATCTTCTTACTGCTCAAGCTAAGTGATTTCTAAGTGCTGAAATTCTCTGTGCAAATTTACACTGAACTAACTAGTTTCACGAAAACTACACCTCAAACATTTCGAATCAAGAACTATATTCTTTTCGCTAAGAACGACTTAGCTATCGCAATCATGCAGTCTGACGCATCTGAATCTGACGCAAAGAAGCGCCCAGTCCAGCTCGCGCTACTTCTTACTGATATAGATAGCGAGATTTGCGTTCTCAGTTATCTACAGAGTAAAGATGTTCTTATCGAAGCGCAAAGAAGTACGTTGTTTGATGTTTACGCAAAAGCTGTTCTACTCGCCCAGGCGTAGGTCTACGCAAGTAATCCAAGAAAAGTGCCTGAGGAGCTAAAAAAAGAATTCTGAAAGCTTATGCAAGGAAAAGATGATATGCAATTTATTTCATATCTTTTCGTCGCGCATAGAAAGTTTGGTTGGCCCCTCTTCCTCTTCCTCCTTTCCCAGAATG